ACTAAGTAGACGATTTTATATTAACAATGGTGTTTAATATTCTAGAAGTGAAAGAAATTTGTGTAGTTTTATTTCGAGCCGTTGAAGTTTATTTCTCAGGGTCGTAAAGTAAAAAATCGTTTTTTTTTTTAATTAATTAGTTTACCCTTTTTACTGGAAACGAGGCATTCCATCTTAGTCCTCACGGGTGATAACGCATCTGCATTTTGATTTGTAATCGAGGATAGATGTAGACGTCTATGGGCCGCAGCAACCACTTACCATCAGGTGGACTGTGTGCTCATTTGTCACCCTATGAGTCAGTCACTCAGGGCATCCTCATTTTTCAAAAAAAATATTTCTATATCCAAGCATATAGAAATATTTTTTTTGAAAAAACACATAATTTTTTTTAATAATTTGCAAATTGTATGTGGTTTTATTATCTCTAACTCACACGAGTATCGATACTGCAGGGTCTTTGACAATCCTCTTACTCCTCGGCCAATGCAGAGATAATAAAACCACATACGATTTGAAAACTATTTTTTTTCATTGAAATAAATTTTTTAAATGTTTTTTTTTTTGAAAAAAATTATTTCTATACGCTTGGATACTGATTCTGATATATATACAATATGTAACAAAAACTCTGTGGTTCCTGTTAAGTGTGTTATCAGAATCAGTATCCAAGCATATAGAAAAAAATTTTTTTTCAAAAAAAAATATTAAAAAAATTATTTTAATGAAAAAAATTACTTTGCAAATTTTATGTGGTTTTATTATTTCTACATTAGCCGAGAATTAATGGATTGTCAAAGACCCTGCATTACCGTTACTCGTGTGAGTTAGAGGAAATAAGACCACATAATATGCAAATTATTTTTTTTTTCATTAAAATTAATTTTTTAATGTGTTTTTTTTTTTAAAAATTTCTATGCGCTTGGATACTGATTCTGATAACACACTTAACAGGAACCACAGAGTTTTTGTTACATATTGTATATATATAATATATGAATTACATGTCACGTTGTTTGTCCGCGATCTCCTACTGTAAGTAGGATAGGAGAGGATACAGTTGGCTATATCGTCTCTATTCATTTTGTAAGTCAATGTCCATTCAGTTGTAAATTTCGTTACGATGTTCTCACGAGTACTTTTTTAAGTCAAGAAAAATCAAGAAAACGTGGTATTTTTGGAAATAATATAAAAATACGTGTGGCACTCGGTGACTGCCGCGGTAAAGCTATTGCATAGCATTATTTATCAACTTATGCAATTATAATTATTTATTTATTTTATTTATGCAGTTAACTCTTTGATATTAAATCAAGTTACACTTTTTGAGCGTGGTGACCGATAAGAAAACAATTTTTTTTCTCTTATTGAATAAATGAGAAGTTACATATTGTATATATATAATATATGAATTACATGTCACGTTGTTTGTCCGCGATGGACTCCTAAACTACTTAACCGATTTTAATCAAATTTGCACACCGTGTGCAGTTTGGTCCAACTTGAGAGATAGGATAGTTTTTTTGCCCACAATTTCTTTTTTTGCGAATTTAAGGATTTTTAATAGGACATGAAAAAAGTAGTATTTCATAATCTACATCATATATATATATATATATATATTTCTTGAAAGCTGACGTTTCTTTCGGTGCCATTCGGCTGTGTGGCAACACAGGCTTGAGTGAAAAAACAACACAATTGTATGCACTTGTGTTGTTTTAACAATGACTCAAGAGAAATGTCAGTGAATTATGTTGTTTTTACAATAAGCGGTATTTTCAGTAGTTCAATTAAAAAAAAAACAGAAGAAGCAAAGCAATTGTATTGTTTTAATGCACAACATATTAATGGCCATAAACTAAATCCAAAATCGCTTTAAACTCGATTTTGGCAAAATGTTAATTATGTTGTTTTAGAAATCATCGATTCAATTATTATTTTACTTACCTATTGTAAAATAGTTCTATGGACATTTACAAGTATACTCTGTTCGTTTATTGATTAAAAACGGTGTTTATTCGGGTAACTAGGCAATAATAAGACTTAGGTCATTACTTTCGGCGGCGTCGTGTATCGGGTCATCCATTTTCTTTTATAACAAGTTAACAAGGAATTACTGAGTACTAAATGAGTATAGAAGGGGTTCTTCACTCATGTCATATTTCTTCTTATCGAGAGTTTTATAATGATTGAAGAGACGAGGACTACGGCTACCAAATACGTCATAGGGTGCATGCTTCTAATCAAAGCCATACCAGCATACCACCGACCCTGTTTACCGTCAAGTTTACAGCGCGCTTGAAGCGGCGTCCGGTACATTAAGTTATACAACACTAGAGAAGCAAACCACATTACCGCGCGTCAAAAAAGTGTAACCACTATCCAAAAGCGACGACGTAGCTTTGAAACTAATAACAATTTTAAATAAACATATATTTATCTCACTTACACAAGTGGCGAAAACAATATCGTCGCTAAGATCAGATAAAGATAGATACACAAACTTGCAATGGCGGGTTGGTGTTATTTTTTATTTATTTATTCTTATAAAGAGTGTACAATATTAATATTTTAAATTTTGCCAAACTGTGAGCCAGTTTGTCGGCAAAGCAACAGTTTATCGTTTCACACTCCTTAATAACAATATCTGGTACTTATAAATACTTAAATTAACACAAAAATAATTAAAGAAACATTCACCACTATGGACACAACGACAGATAATATTTCCTCAAGATGGATTTGAGCTGCGACTTAGTTATGCTTTCGTCATATATATCCGCTACCCCATTACACAAAGTTGGAGTTATCCATTGCCTTGTACGCCGTCCAAAGTAATTTTCAGCCCTAGTTATGAGATATTTCCTGCTTTGAGTTATTTGGCGCTTCGGCATTATATATGTCCTAGGTTTCTTAAATGTTACCTTACCATGCTGTTCTAATATGATAATGGATTTTACTTTCACATCTATGTGGCTTACTATATGAAATTTTACCTAAAATACGTAATAAAAATTAGTTTTTTTAAGCTGCAGTTAATTGTTTTTTTAATTAAAAAAGTATATTTTATTTTAAAATCTTTATTGCGTCCCCTTAGAAAAGAGGATACAAAGCTTATCAGATGAATAGAAGTAAACATAATGATGAAATAAAACATATTTTTATAAGTATTTTTATCGTACTAATAAATCAAACAATATAATATAGGCAATAAAATATAATTAATATAAAATTATTAATATAAAATAAGTAGGTAATAAAATATATTTAATAGATAATTCATGAATAAACTGAAATAAGAATAATTAATTTTTTTGAATGAAAGTTAAAACGAAGCTTTTATTATAATTTCCAAAATATTTAAAATCAGAGGTAACAAATTAACTTACTCCATTAATTATATAGTCTCCCATTAATGTAGGATAATCACAAATGCGGAAAAGTGGCAATATTGAACCTAAATGGCAATATTCGATAATTTTATTAAATTATTTGAGGTTTTTTACATTTATATGAAAACAAGAACTAAAAATTATATGTTGAAAGTGATTCCGCTTGATTTATTACGTTTTTGAGACTTTGAATAGCATTCTTTCGTATTTACCCATTTTTTGTCGCGGCTCAACTCTGTCGGCGTCACATTGAACACTGAACCAGGAGTGCCATTTAGAAATTTTAAGTTGCCGTGTTTTGGGATCAGGATTGCCGTGTTTTGGAATAAAAACTATAAAATTGCCGTGTACATTTATATTTATTTTAAATTAACACGTAAGTTTGAAAATGACATAAAAACATTACTCTTCACAGTCATCATACAAAATTCTTATCGTAAACAAAACTTCTTCTTCGTCGTTGTTCAATTTATATTTATTATTTTCCTTTATATTGTCTATCATTTGTTTTGCGGGTTTGAAATTTACACAATTTCTTTGGGATCGGATAAAGTGCTTAGCTAGTAATGTTAAATAAAGTAAATAAACAGCGGTATATCTTTTTAATGTACTTTTCAAAAAACGAAAGAATGAAATGAATACCATAAACAATGAAGTGTGTATTCACGCTCATCGAGTCATGACTACATCTAGTTAGTACTATTATTTATTCTGTGGTCTAGTGTAGTCTAGTGATGTGCGTTATAATGACTTATCGACTAGCGATAAAATTTTCCGAAAAAATTTGTAAGCATTAGATTGCCGTGTTTTAGGATACGGCAATTAATATGCTGCCGTGTATCGTGTTTTATTACTGAATAGACCCAAATTGCGGTGTATCACGTCAATTGCCGTGTAAGTGGCAACGCTGCACTGAACTGACGTTAGCTAGGCATATGGCTGTGACCATATGTGCAGTGGTAACGCTTTGGCGCGGTTATTACTGATCTAGTGAATTTCGATTCTGCCATGCAGTTCGCTTTTTTTTTCAAAAATAAAACTTCCAGTGATATTAACTACAAACATTGTCAACTAAAAAAAAACTTTCTTAACAAGTGTAAAGTATATCTCAAATATTACCACTCAGTAAATATATCATTCGTCAAAAATTCTATCATTATCATTTTTAAAATCAAAACACATGGGCAACGGATACGTGTTTTATGAAGAAGAATACTAAAATAATTATTCCCTCGTTACTAGATGTAACATTAATATCACATTTTAGAGAACCGGAGACCATTTTTACTGGAAATGAGGCATTCCATCTTAGTCCTAACGGGTGACAACGCATGTGCATTTTGATTCGTAATCGAAGGTAAATGTAGATGTCTATGGGCCGCAGCAACTACTTACCATCAGATGGACTTTGTGCTCGTTTGTCACACTATCCTATAAAAAAACAAAGCACGGTTCCGACACAGTTTAATGTGGTTCCTAGCCACCGGTCTTCCTGCATTTCTCACCATGTCGTCACTCCATCTAGTGAGGTTAATCATAATTATAACTATGATTATTTGCATATTTTCAGTTGTGTGAAAACAGAAGAAAACAACAAATCGTGACGTCATGGATGCCGTGAATAATGCTGCTAGTGATACGGAGGCCGCTTGCGATGCGGGAAACGCTGTCGCCAACGCGACCGTTAATGATGTGAACAACGCGAGCGATGCTACCAGCGTGGCAGTCAACGACGAAAGCGATGCTGCCAGCGTGGCTGTCGGCGAAGCGAGCGATGCTGCCGGCGTGGCAGTTAGCGACTACAGCGATGCTGCCAGCGTGGCAGTCAGCGATTACAGCAATGCTGTCTGCGTGGTAGTCGGTAACGCGAGTGATGCTGCTACCATGGAAGTCGGTAACGAAAGCGATGCTGATAGCGTATCAGTCAGCGAGGCGAGCGATGTTGTTAGCGTGGCAGACTACGACTACAGCGATGCCGTCAGCGTGGCAGTCAGCGACTACATCGATGCTGTCTGCGTGGTAGTCGGTGACGGGAGCGTGGAATTCGGTGACACAAGCGACGCTGCTAGCGTGGAATTCGATGATGAGAGCGATGCTGATAGCGTGGACTACAGCGACTACACGTTATGTGGTGATGGTGTTGATTCTTCAGGCCGTGAAGTTTTTCCAGTCTTGAATTTTGAAGGTAAGTTTTATATAGGAACATATTATTTAAAGAAAAAGGCTATTAAAATGTTTTGTACCATATTTAGCGTTTTATGGCGATCTTAATGAAGCTTAACGTACTTAGCTAACGATAAGTTTTCATAAATTTAATTAACAAAATTCAATATTCGTTTGAAAGTTGTAATTTTTAAGAATTTTTATCATTTTTAATTTGGAGATTCGACGACAAAAAACGTGTTTCATTATAATTATAACTTAACTTTCTATAGCACGAATGGGTCGGCTCGACCGGGGAAGGACCACGCTCTCACAGAATACCAGCGTGAAATAGTAGCTTAATGCTGCTGTATTTCGTATGGTGAGTGTAGAGAACCGGAGACCCTTTTTACTGAAAATGAGGCATTCCATCTCAGTCCTCACGGGTGACAACGCATCTGCATTTTGATTTGTAATGGAAGATAGATGTAGATGTCTATGGGCCGCAGCAACCACTTACCATCAGGTGGACTGTGTGCTCGTTTGTCAGCCTATTCTATAAAAAAAAATCTAGTATGACCAAATATAAACTAAGAAACGTATACATATATAATTAAATTTGTTGGGCCGATGTGGGTACATGTATTTCTATTTTCTACTAAGGTTTCCAAGTTAACTAGCTTTAATTGTTTTGGTAGGTAGTGAGCCTCATAGAATTAAAATTATAAGTGTTTGTGCCTCAAGGCAGTACCTATTTCTTCGCTATATAGTACTGAGTACTTTGAATGATTATTGTGATGAAATGATAGCGAAGAAATAGGTCATTCTTATAATTATTATTTTACTTACCTATTCTAAAATAGTTCTTTGGAAAGTTATAAGTGTGCTCTGTTCGTTCATTGTTTAAAAACTGTGTTTATACGGGTCAACTAGGCAATAATGAGACTTGCTAGGTCATTGCTTTCGGCGGCATCCGTCGTGTGTCAGGTCATCTATCTTCTTTTATTACAAGTTAACAAGGAATTACTACCACATGAGTATAGAAACGGTTCTTTCATCATCATCATCATTACAGCCCTTCACAAGTCCACTGCTGAACATAGGGCTCCCCCAAGTATTACCACAAAGCACGGTCCTGAGCTACCTGCATCCATCGACTTCCTGCATGTCTTACCAGGTCATCACTCCATCTAGTGGGGGGTCAACCTACACTACGCCTACCAGTACGTGGCTGCCACTCGAGAACCTTTCTTCCCCATCGGTTATCGGTTCCTCGAGCTATATGGCCAGCCCATTGCCACTTCAGCTTACTAAGCCGTTGGGCTATGTCGGTCACTCTGGTTTTACTGCGGATATCCCCATTTCTGAGTCTATCACTCAGAGAAACTCCGAGCATAGCCCTCTCCATAGCTCGCTGAGTGACCTTGAGCGTCCTCATACGACCAGCAGTGAACGTCCACGACGACCACGTCCCAGATCACACGTGCAACACGCACTGGTTGTACACTTTAGTTTTCAGAGATTGAGGTATACCTGACGAGAAGATGTGTCGTAATTTCCCGAACGCTGCCCAGCCGAGTTGAATCCCTCGATTGACCTCTCGGTCGAAGTTGGACTTACCTAGTCAGACTATTTGTCCCAGGTAAACGTACTCGTCAACAACTTCGAGCATAGTGCTCCCAACAACTACCGGCATAGGTGTGACATGGACATTAAACATGATCTTTGTTTTTCCATGTTCATCTTAAGACCTACCCGTTGGGAGACACCATTGAGGTCATTGAGCATAGTGCTTAAGTCCTCCAGCGATTCTGCCATAAGGACTATATCGTCGGCATATCGAAAGTGACTGATGTACTCGCCATTGATGTTATTACCCGTATCCTTTCCAGTCCAGTAGCTTGAAAACGTCTTCCAACGTAGCGGTAAAGAGTTTCTGGGATATAACGTCACCCTGTTTTACACCTCTCTGCAGTTGGATAGGTTTCGAACTCTGGTTCTGTACTCGGATAGCCATCGTAGCCCCACTGTACAAACAATTCAGCACTTCGATATACCGACAGTCAACTTGGCACCGCTGAAGGGACTGTAGCACCGCCCAAATTTCGACGGAATCAAAGGCTTTCTCATAGTTCACATACGCCAGGCAAAGTGGCAGATTGTACTCTTCGGTCTTCTGTACAATCTGCCGCAGTGTATGTATGTTGTCTAAGGTACTGAAGCCTTTTCGGAAACCGGCTTGTTCGGGAGGCTGGAAGTCGTCGAGTCTGCGTGCGAGACGATTCGTAATGACTCTCGAAAGCAGCACATAGACGCGGCTCAGAAGGGAAATCGGTATGTAGTTCAAGAGAGCGTTGTCGCCTTTCTTAAAAAACAAGACCACCGCACTTCTGCTCCACGCCTCCGGAGTAGTGCCACCATGAAGGACGGAATTGAAGAGCTTCTGAAGGACTTCAAGTACCGGTGTTTCATCCGCTTTCAGAAGCTCCGCTGTAATTCTATCCTCGCTTGGGGCCCTGCCGTTTTTAAGGTGCTGGAGAGCCATTCTAATCTCGTTCTTTACTCATGTCATATTTTTTCTTATCGAGAGATTTAAAATTATTGAAGAGACGAGGATGACGGCTGCCAAATACGTCATAGGGTGCATGCTCCTAATCAGAGCCATACTACCTAACCAGTTTACCGTCAAGTTTACAGCGCGCTAAGCGCGTTAAGCGGCGTCCGGTAAAACAAAATTGAATTTCGATTCTGCCATGATGATCGCTTTTTTTTTTCAAAAATACAATTTCCAGTGATATTGACTACAAACATTGTAAACTAAAAAATTTTTTTGAACAAGTGGAAAGTATATTTCAAATATTACCACTCGGTAAATGTATCATTCACCAATAATTCTATCATTGTCATTTTTAAAATCAAAACACACAGGCGACGGATACGTGTTTTATGAATAAAATAATTATTTCCTCGTTACTAGATGTAACATTAATATCACATCACATTTCTCCACTGCTAAACATAGGCCTATACAAAGCACGGTTCCGACACAGTTTAATGTGGTTCCGAGCTAACGGTCTTCCTGCATTTCTCACCATGTCGTCACTCCATCTAGTGAGGTTAATCATAAACATAACTATGATTATTTGCATATTTTCAGTTGTGTCAAACCAGAAGAAAACAACAAATCGTGACGTCATGGATGCCGTGAAGATTGCTGTAAACGCTATCGCCAACGCATCCATAATTGCTGTGAACAACGCAAGCGATAATACCAGCATGGCTATCGGCAACGCGAGCGGTGCTGGTAGCGCGACAGTCGGCGACACGAGGGATGCTGCCAGCGTGGCAGTCGGCGATGCGAGTGATGCTGCTAGCATTGCAGTCGGCGACGCGAGGGATGCTGCCAGCGTGGCAGTAGGCGACACGAGCGATGCTGCTAGCGTGGCCGTCGGTGACGCGAGCGTAGCTGCCAGCGTGACTTTCGGTGATGCTAGCGGTGCTGCCAGCGTGGCAGTTGGTGACTACAGCGATGGTGCCTGCGTGCCCGTCGGTGACGCAAGCGCTGCTGCCAGCGTGGCAATCGACGACTACAGCAATGCAGCCAGCGTGGCTGTCGGCGACACGAGCGGTGCTGCCAGCGTGACAGTCGGCGACTACAGCAATTCTGCCAGCGTGGCTGTCGGCGACGCGAGCGATGCTGCCAGCGTGGCAGTCGGCGACTACAGCGATGCTGCCAGCGTAGCTGTCGGCAACGCGAGCGATGCTGCCAGCGTGGCAGTCGGTGACTACAGCGATGCTGCCAGCTAGCTGTCGGCAACGCGAGCGATGCTGCCAGCGTGGCTGTCGGCGACTACAGCGATGCTGCCGGCGTAGCTGTCGGTGACGCGATCAATTATGTCGAACCTTAGAAGTTAAAAAAGTTTGGTATAATTAATAACCATGTTTACAAAATTGTTAATAAAGAAATATTAAATCAGTTGTTGATAAAGTAATATTAAAACAGTTGTTATGATTAGAATTCGGTTGTATAATTTTAAACCCCACACATACACACGCGCACACCCACACAAACACACACGGATGTAAACAGGGGGCACGCCAACTGCGCTACCGATCTTTTGAATATGGGTTTTTTATAAGCATTGCATTTTTCATTTATCTATTACGCCCACACTAGGATTTTCTCTTGAGTCATGGAAGCAGCATCAAATCAAATACTTGTTCCGTGTTGGATTTGAAACCGCAGTTCCGTCGCGCGGAGCCGTCATATATTCATTATAGCCTATCACAAGTCCACTGGTGAGCATAGCCCCCCCCCCCCCCATAAATTTCCTAAGGTGATATTTCCATAGTTGTCAATACTGGCAGACATGTAGGCAAACAGTTTTTGTTATTATTATTATTGCCGCTGCGTATTTCTTGTCTCAGTTTCCATCTGTTTCCTGCTACGACGCTCTAGGTATGATGGAGTAGTGCAGAGACGGTGATGATTGTTACTGTTTCATGTGAAACATCGGAACGGCTTTGGACATAATTTAATAGAGAGGAGGGTTATGATATGAAACAGGCTATCTACAGCCAAAAATGAACCTACCGATATTTATCGGTAGGTTCATTTTGTTATATTTATACAGGATTTTATAATAGCTTGCTTACTTTATTTATCTATATTTTATACCTATGACATAGCATATTGTCGGCGGCAAAAACGTAAAACAAACAGTAACAAAAAATAAAACAGAGGCAATGCAATGTCGGGTGTGTTATCAGCACAGATAACCTCCTAATAGATTCCGCATACAGGGCCACAAAAGCGCGCCACACATGCTTGCTGTAGCTAGCATACGAAGTAACGCTAAGAATCACGATATCAGTGTCGACCAATGTTGTGACCAGTAGGCACGTCCGAGTTCTTGACAATTTAAAATAGTCCTGTATCCAAAATACATTACAAATAGCTTCCTGTGCAGTAAAATAGTGTGGCAAGTCATTCAAGTTATCAAAAAATGGCATAACATTTCATCGGTAAGTAAATTCTATTCTAATCACTTTAACCTATTTCAAATGCACTGGAGTTCAACTTATACTGGTAATTTAATGGTGCAAAGTGATAACAATTAAGCACCCGTTGATGTCTTTTTAAAATGTCCCTTTCACTCATTACGTAAATTACAGTAGTTGTCTTTGTCTAACGACAGCACGTGTATCGATAGTGTTGCGATTTATAAGTTGATATTTGTTTGGTCATCATTTACATTTTTAAAGACATTATTTTATAAACATTGTGGTGTATCATTGTAATACTTATATGTTATAGGTTTCCTAAATGCCCCGAAAGGAAAAAGATGTGGATCGACGCTACTTGTCGAGGGGACCAAGGTTTCCCACCAAAAATAGTGTGCTATGCTCAAGACACTTCACAGAAGCAATCTTCATATATAAAAACTGTAGAAGGCAGTTGGATTCCGCTATACCATCTCTATACTTGCCAGTTTTAGTATGGACTTTTACATTTTTTTAAAGTATAGTACCAATGTAAATTACACAATAAGTAATAGCATTAAGTGGTTGATTGAAACGTGATATTCTAATATTTAGGCGAATGTTACGAGTCGAAATTAAACTATTTTTAACGGATTTATAAATCGTAAAACAAGTGAAAGTTATAATGTTATTACATGAACTTCAGTAATATCTTATTATTATTAAGTACATCTAAATTTGAAATACGTAACGTATGGTTTATTAATTAATAATGCTACTTTTAGCACTTGGCAAAAATACTGTCACCACCGAGAGGACATACCAGACCACACACAAAGGATTCACACCATTTTGTTAGTGAGATAAAAGACCCACAACTCGCTGACAATGAAACTATGGTCAGTTTTGGTGTTCAGTCACTATTTACATGCCTACCTATTGAAGACTGCATCACAATTGTAACTAGGAAACTAGAAGATAACAACATGCCTGTAGAATATGCAGTATTACTGAAACAATGCTTCACACAAAACAAGACTTCAAGATATTGTGAGCTCGTTCTATATAGATCATCCCGACCATGTAGATCACTGAAGGTAGCCGAGCTAGATTACATGCACAAATATATATATATATATATTTGTTTTATTTGTTTACATTGTTTTATTTTTTAATTAATTTCAAATAAAAATTGATCAATTTAATTATTTATCAATAATGAATAAATCCCAAATTTATCGATCAACGTCCCAACCCTGTCCCATCACTATGGTTCGGAGCATTCTAAATTACTTACTTACTTACTTACTTATCTTCACGCACAATCCCTAACGGGGTAGCCAGAGAGAACAGATCGCTATAGTGTCACGATCCTTACATACCTCTTTCGCTTCTTTCAGGTTCATTAACTTCTTCATACATGCACGTCTAGGTATCCGAGTACTCTTGACCCTCCCCTCTTCGAGCAATTTGCTCACATGTTCTTCGAAAGTTAGTCTCGGTCTACCTCGACACCTTTTAATATTTACTTTCGCTCTATATATTTTCTTCACCATTCGGTCTTCACTCATTCGTTCAACGTGCCCAAACCATTGGAGTACGCCCCTATCAATTTTTGTGATAAGGTCATCTTTCAATCCTGCCATATTGCGAATCTCTTCGTTTCGCTTTCGGCCGGCTATGGTAACGCCACACATTTTACGAAGAGATCGCATCTCCACTGCATTCAACTTGCTTTTATGCTTCTTCTGGCATACCCAGGTTTCGCTGCCATATAACAAAGTCGGTACAAACACTGCGTTATGTATTGCAAGGCGTGCACTCTTCACCACGCCTTGCCTTTTTACTAATGCATTCAGGGCACCATTGACTTTGTTTCCGGCAGCGACACGCCTATCCACATCTAAATCACATCTTCCATCCCGGCTGAAAGCACTCCCCAAGTATACAATTTCATTTACCTGTTCTAGACATTCCTGATTTACCCATATTTCACATTTCGTTCTCTCTTCGTCCTTTTCAAATACCAGTCCTTTTCAAATACCATCATTAGCATTCGAAATTCAACCCTGAATTATCCAATCACAGCGCATTTGACACGTCCCCCGCAACTCATGCATGCCACGGAATTCGGTGAAATCGAAACAGAACAAATATTCCATGTTGCGGTATCTATTAGGGGGTAATCTGTGGTTATCAGTGATTTTTACATGTTTTCTATTGTGAATCGTTATAAATAATATTTGTATAATTATCGTTTTGCTTTTATATTATTTTTTTAATTATCAAATATAAAATATATTATTAATCATTGTATTGTCATAATAATTATCATATATAATTTTCTCAGTTTATTTTTAATTTAGAATTTGAGGTATTTACGAAGAGTATTATTTAAGTATATTCATTCATTTTCTAAACATTTGTAATTAATTCACTTATCAGTAATATCTATAACAGCGTTTCAACAATTTTCACATTATTAGGGTCACAGCTCATTAGAGCCACCCGGCACCCGACCTTCACCGCCTCGCCTCGAGCGGTTCGTATTCTTCTTATGGATTTGTATGAGCCTGCGCTCACTTCATCAACTCCGTACCATCACCGGATCGCTTCACTCGCGAGGTGTCGCGCGGTACGCGGGAGTGCGATGTGGCGCTCTCCACCAACCCTTCATTTCGAGCCTTTCTTTCGAATGTGTCGGACGCATTGTTGTTTGTTTTTAAAATGAACAAATAAAAAATTATAGAAGAATTTCGGAAGTATAAATTATTGTATGATTTAAGGGTCACTCGTTGATCACGTGAGGTCCACTCGTTGACGACGCGAGGTCCGCTCGTTGACGACGCGAGGTCCACTCGTTGACAACGCGAGGTCCACTCGATGTCCACGCGAGGTTCACTGGTGACAACGCGGCGTCCACCCGTTGTCCACCTGTTGACTACGAGTGGACGCCTGTGACGAGGCGGTGAGGGCCGGGTGCCGGGTGGCTCTAATGAGCTGTGACCCTAAAAGTATTTGGATTGTATAATTCTTACAAATTCAAACTGTTGCTTAGGTTCAGTTTTGATAGGTAGCAGGGATATGCTACCACCATTGTCTGATATTATTGAAACAATTGCAATAATTATTGACTGGCTATTCGAGTTGTGAACTAGTAAAGTGAACAACATTATGTTTATGTTATTTCAGGAAGTTTTACAGGATTTATTTTTACACATTTAAATTTATCGAATAATTATCAGAAAACAAGAATTAATTTAAATATTTTTTTTACTTTTACGTTTATTTCTTTCGAATTGAATTTTAAGATATCCAATTTTGACAACCTGGCGCCTAGTAAGCGGTTTCTCCAGCTTCTGAAAATAACCGCTCACGGGATACCAAAGTTGCCACGGTAGGCAAATAGATCTTAGAAATAACCCTTACATGCCATCCCACATCTCCAACGCTTTTAATGTATGAAACTATTCTTCTGCTTTAGTTTTATTTCTTATGTTTTGGTGCGTTACTTCTTTAATGGTAGTTCCATATGTCACCTTCAATATTATCGCATTTTCTGAATACATCTACTAAACTATACCGAATTACAAACAGCTGTTCCGTTCATCAAATATATCAAAATACGAAGTACCTTAAGCCGATAAAAGAATTTCCATTACAAAATAACTATTAACTTATAAGACTGTACTTAAGCTATTGATTAAGTTAAAGCTTAAACAATATAATTATTAATAAAAAATGAATAAAACAATTCCAATCCAATTTCAATATTTGTAAACTCATGTTAATTTATTACCTATTAAAAATTAACCCCAATTTTG